TTTTTTTCTTTTTTTTTAATTACAACGTTTAGATGAAATTTACCAAATACTACGCTCTTAAGACAACTTATCATTTAAGATTTATTCGTATAGATAAAAATATAAAGTTAATTTTACGTTTATCGTATTCTATCTGATAAGTATATTTTATTAAAACAAAAAAAAAAAACAAAAAAAAATACACTATTTACAAGGTCATCAAGAATATAAAACAAATATAAATTTTTGTTCAGCAAATCTTATGTAAAATAAGAGAACCTTTTTTTATTTAATGTAAACACTATTGTTTGAACGTGAAGATAGAAATAATATATTGTAGTAGAGTTTAGACCGATAAATTTATTGTTGCGCTTGTTTCATTCTTTTTTTATTATTAATAAAAATTCAACAATACTTTATTTCTTCTTCGTCCTTATATTATATTATAAATAATGCGCATAGAAAGTTTAGAAATAGTTTGAAAATTGTTAAATTGACAGGGCACACATATCAATGGCTTTTAATAAATAGATAAAAATTATATGAAATTATATAATAAAATAATCTGAAAATATGTATTAATTGTACGAGAGAGAGAGAGAGAGAGAGAGAGAGAGAGAGAGAGATGAAACAATTATTAGCTTCTATAATCACCGAAAAAATATACTATTCATAGAGAAGTATTGAGAAATTTTCTTAACTATTTTCATTAATAAGAGTATAATTATTCTGTTATAAAAATAGCTTTTTAATTATAGCCGTGGAATATGTAATATACGATAATTATGTTCTTTATTAAGCATCAAAATTCCATACAACTCGACATATTACTTCATTATCAAATGTTTTTTTCTTTTTTAATACACTGGTATTATATGTTTGTAAGGAGCAAATAACGAAATATATTTTAATTTCATTACGACTATCATGGCCATCGTTTGACATGATACATAATTTAACTTATCTTATATAAATGCTAAATCATTCATACGATCGATCGATTCTATGAAAGAAAAAGCTACCGAAATCTCGCGTGTACCGTTACGAATATTAATACGTGAAATGCTATGGTAATAATAATAATAATAATAATAATAATAATAATAATAATAATAATAATAATAATAATAAAACCAAACAAAAAATAAATCAAGTAGATCTGAGCGATTAGTTACCAACCAGAAGAAAAGAAAAAGCGATCTCTTAATATTACAAAGTTAATCAATGAAACGTTTATAATACACGCCGCCGGGCAACTTTCGGGCTTGTGCCGATAAATTAAATTATCGTCGTGGAGAATTTATAAATCGAGCGTCATTGTAGATACAACGTAAGAGTTACGATGATCAGTCTGGTGAAATTGCGCGAACACGAGGAACAATCGAAACATGAGTTTTCTCATTGCCGGATTGCATATTCAGCTGCTCATTCGCTTAGTCTGATAAATCAATTTCGATCTATCGATACGACCGCCTCGAGCAGACACTACACTACCGCTATAAATTCTTTAATCAATGGATTATCGCAATCTTGAAATGATTCCGGATAAACTAGCAGTTGTATGCTGATTCCTAATGTAGGAGTAATAATCTATAATTATTGCATTTCATATGCAAAATTGCATAGCCTTTTTTTGTCTATTCTTATCATAAAAAAAAACATCCAAGCGAAATAATAAAATAAAAATATTGAATTATGCACGATATAATATTTATAATATCCCGTTAGTAAATAAGATTTTAGAATATATAGTAAATATTTTTTGACAAACTCAAGTATATATTATGTTTATACAACTTGGCATACTTCGATTAATAATTATAATTATGAGTGTAAAGTCATATATTGCGTAATAGAAAAACATTATCGTAATAATTCCAGACGTAAGAAATTACTTAAGGTAAGTATGCGGCAAATATTTAGCTCGCACAGTTTGGTTCTCCACAATTAAACAGATAAGCATCAAGACTATTTTGTTAATAATACTGAACTTCATTATGGTAATCGAAGCGATATCAGATAATGTTCGTTAAAAAAAAAAAAAAAAAAAAAAAAAAAAAAAAAAAATAAAAAAAAAATAAATAAATAAATAAATAAATAAATAGTAGCTAATTCACAAAGCATTTAGGTATTTACCTTTGAATTTCATATTCTCGTTTGATGAAAATTAATAATATTTCGCGTATGACCAATCTCATACGAAATACAATATATTATATCTTATACATATATTTAAAAATCTTATTAACTTTCATTTGGCTTTGGAGATTCTTTAGAATAAATAATAAACGGCAATAATGATTTATAAATGATACCACTTGTTGCGTAATAATGCAATTCAGCTTTTACGTAAATAACCACTCCCTAAGATAAAATTATTTAAAGGAAAGATTTCTTCTTACATTTATTAATCATTAATGAAAATCCAGATGAATCGAGTTACATAATTAACTATTCATATTACAAATGTAAAAAATTAATAGACTATTAATAGACCTTCAACAATTTAAATAGATCCGTAATTCATTGAAAGGACAAAAGAAAAAATGAATATCTCATAATCACGACTACGTAATCGACTTCCGATGGATAAAAATTTTCCCCGAGTTTGACTCGTATGCCATTCTCTACGCGTAAGAATAGTCTCGTTAGGTTTCCAACAAAACCAATTAAATTTTATTACTCTTTATAAGAACCAGTAACAGTGTCATATAAAACATTGTTTTCTATCATGCATAACAGTCACTTGTGAATAAGCGCGGTTTTTTTTTTCTCACACCAAGTGTTTGTGGAGAAGAGGAAGCCGTATGTATTGGGTTAATTGTATATTATTTCTATTTATAAAAAAATGATGCTTAAATAAGACTTGGTGTAGTAGATTTATGACGATATAAAAATGCCTTCTCGTTAACGTCAATATTGTTATTCGCATAAAAGCCGACATGTAGTGAGAATAATTTTGTAAAATTTACAAATAAATTTTCTCTATAAATTCTAATGAGGTGCATTAGACATTAAATCGAGATGGGGGTGAGGGGGGGGGGCGGCGGCAACTCTAATTCTATAAATCATTTTCGAGAACGATTCTTCGTCTTTCGATACCACTCAGCTTCCGAAATTCTACTGCAGTCGTCATCGTCTATTCTACGTTATATACCCGCCAGTGCTATGCATTCGCAATTAAACGAAACTATTAACAGCAGCAAGAGTTCGAAACTCGTGCCCTAAGATAAGAATTTTAAGTCAATGGACTTAACTATGAATTTCGTTACGTACGAATGGAAGTGCGCGAAGATATGCGACAGAGATAGCGTTGGAATTTATCGGTGCGAGCCTTGCCTGTCAATCGGATGTTCTCCTTTCAATACATGAGATTGTGCAGCGAGCGATGCATGGCGATTAGTTTATACTTAAATTATGCTTATCTTGGACAATTGAGAGTCGCGTCGCAAAGGTGGAATCAATTTATATTGTAATGGCCTACGTTTTCCTTGTGGAAATTATCGAAATATCACGGCGAGACTGTCGTGACTGTCCAATAAGTATGTCATTACTCGTTAAAAGCTTTTTATTTACCTTGATGCGCTGATAAGCGTTCGGAAGCTATTCCGACGGAATGGAATATTATTATTAAACGAGTTATATAGACTTATTTTTCGTCACGGTTCACCGACTCTTTTGACTATCACTACCAAATTACAAGAAAAATAAAATTCATTAATCTTAGATGCTTAGGGCGACAATTTTATCATTAAATATAATTAAAAGAGTTTTTACAATGTCTTTGCATATAATTTATAAGCCATTTTCTTTTAAGTTCAAGTGATACATCTTATACGCTTAATAATTAAAAAAAATTTGAAAAATTTTATTTATAAAACAACTGCAACTAAAAAAAGAAAGAGAAAACCATTTTAAAACCTCGAACCTTAAAACTTTCCGAGTTATTATGCGAAAAAAAGTGAACAAAAGAAATTCCATACGGATAATATTGAATATATTAACAAACTTCTAATAAGTTTCTTGTTTAAATGAGATTCTATATATCAGCGGAACTCGAGTTGTATTGGCCAGAAATTCGAGACGTGCACAAGATTATTGACGACTTTCATTCATTGATTGAACACGTACTATTTAGCATAGATGGAGTACATTTAACATAAAAGGACGATGGATATTAAAAGTTGTATCAGTCCGTTTTTAGCCATGAGTTAAAAGGTAGTACAGTTCTCTTGTTTATATTAATAATTTATATAAGAATATAATAAGAAAGCTTATAAGAAAGCTGAAATTAAAAAAAAAAAAAAAAAATAAACAAAAACAAAACAAACAAACAAAAAAAAAACAAACAAACAACAGTGGTGCATAGTGAATAAATAAGACTTGTGTATCAACTTCAAATTAAATCTATCAGGATGAGGTATATGTCGATATTAATATTAGTAATCCTAGTGATAATGTGCCATTCGGTTCCAATGATACAAGAACAAAAGAAGGTTCGTAATACGTGAAATTTATTACTGCTCAATGTTGACGCTTAATATTGATTTTTAGATTGACGATGAAATCCTAGAAGCAACACCGGTTCTTGATAATAAGGAATCGAGTAAAAAAGATGAGGTCGTTAGTCGACAAGATCTCGAAAAAAATGAAATAATAAATGATGAAGAATCGACGAAAAAATCCAACGATTTATTGGATAAAGCAACGGAGAAACCAAACGATAAATTGGATAAATCAATGGAAAAATTAAACGATGATTTACAAAAATCGAATGATAAGCCAAACGATATATTGGAAAGATCGACGGAGAGATCAAAGGATAAATTGGAGAAACAAAAGGAGAAGGAAAACGATAAATTGGAAAAATCGATGGAGAAAGCAAATGATAGATTGGAGGGACCAATGGATGAAGTAAACGATAAATTGGAAAAATCATTAGATAAATCAAACGATGGATTGGAGAAATCCATGGATAAAGCAATCGATAAATTGGAAAAATCGATGAAGGAACGAAACGATAGATTGGAGAAACCAATGGATGAAGTAAACGATAAATTGGAAAAATCAATAGAGAATGGGAAGGAGAAATTGGATGAATCAGCGGAGAAAGCAAAGGAAAAATTGGAAAAACCAACGGAGAAGGCAAGCGATAAATTGCAACGAGCGACAGAAAAAACAGTTATTAAATCGCAATCAGCGACAAAAGCAGCAAATAGTAAATTGCAACGAGCGACAGAAAAAGTAATTATGAAAGTGCCGCGATCGACGAGAAAAACTAATAATCAACACAAAGAATCAAGAGAAAAACATTTTAAAAATGCAACTTCAATGGCAAAGCCAAAAGTAGAATCTAAGGATATTATGGATTCAGCAAAAAATAACACATTCACTGTTCAATCAGCCAAAACAAATTCAAGTGACGAAGAGCTCACTTCTCTTTTCTCCCCTTCAACAAATCCTACTTTCATCGAGGTAGATATCATAACTTTAATATGCAATTTATTCTCTTACAAATACTGCCACGGAGCAATTATAATTACGTATATTTTTGTTTATCCGTTTAGAGAATACAACGATTGTGGTATAATGTGAGAGGTATGGTGGCTATTATTGAATTCTGGAATAAAGTGCGAAAGTTTATTAAACGAACGATTGGATTGGATTTACCATAAACGATTGCGGATAAGACAGTTATAATGGTATTATCATCGACCAATTAATAATTTTGCACACGGATAGAATTTTATACCATTTAAAAATAAATGCTAGCTACGTGAAATTATTGTGCCTATGACAAGTTACTTTCTCCTTTGATCTTGTTTGTAATAAAAAAATTGTTTTGGCACTGAGCCATTAAAATTTGTTGTTAGTTTTTCGTAAAATCGTTAGTCATGCGATTAATTTAGTAAAATTTAACAGGTCAAAGTCTTCTGCCTCCCATTTATTACGCATGACTAACAAACAAATCCCGATTATTTTATTTATTTATTTATTTATTTTTTTTTTTTTTTTACAAGACTTCTGTCCGTGCACAATTCTCCCATTATTTATATAAAGCAACAACGTTGCTGCTAAAAAGAATTATGGAAAGAATTATTTGGGACTGACTTTGTGTTTTACAAACGTTCGTCAAATATAGCGAAACAATGGCAATTAACACAAAGTAAGAGATAAGATTTTTCGCGCATACAGAAGTTTCAAAATCTGCCATAAAACATAGAGGAAAGAAGATTTTCTAGAAATAATCGCGGTCTTACGGAAGAACGAATTCTTCTTAAGAACGAATTTGAGAAAAATATATGATTAACAGTAAAGTGGAGGAGGTATAACAAAAATTTCACGTTATTTGTCAAATATGCTGAACTAGCGGCCATGTGCATTAAAAATACCATGTGAACAAGAAGACTCCAGTAGGCGCTTGTCGGCTTACTTAAGAGAATGTACTCTTAGACCTAACTGCTGAATTGTAAGTGAGGGAGAGAGGGTGAGAGAGAGAGAGAGAGAGAGAGAGAGAGAAAGAGTGAATAAGAGAGAGAGAGAGAGAGAGAGAGAGAGAGAGAGAGTGAGAATAAAATGGAATGAGAAACAGAGTGGTAGAAAGAGAGAAAGCTTAAGAGATATGCGAATAGACAGTGAGGAGATAAATCGCAGTAAGCCAGTCGTAAGTATATAAATTATACACGCCCATTGCCCATAGCTTCTTAGTTAGCTTTGTGTGTACTTAAAGTGCTTTCTTCTCTCTCTCTCTCTCTCTCTCTCGCTCTCTCTCTCTGTCTCTCTCTCTCTCTCTCTGTGACACCTTATTCACCTACGGATGCACAATATCTGTGTGGATATGCAAGTGCACATTTCTCCTAATTCACTCGTGGATACGGGGAAATCGAATATATAATCAAATAATTATCGTTTATACAATAACAACGGGAACTGAATCATAAAAAATACAGACACTCTTATTGAAATTTCACGGTTATAGGATTCTTTGACTAATGAAAGAATATCGTGTCATTTTACACTAATAAAGGTTTTTATGGATATTAAGGCTTTTAATAAAGTCGATGTATGTTTAAAAATGCATTAATACGAGGGAATGGCATTTGATTACTGTAATTAAGATTTTAAATGTATAATTTACTATTACAACTATAATAATAGCTATTATAATAGCATTGATTACCTTCTTTTTTTCTTCATATTCTTCAAATCTTTAGCATATTACGAATGTATCACGTTTACTTCAACTAATTCTAAATATGTCAAAACGATCGTATTCTAAACTTTAGATTTATCGATCAAACATAGTCGTACATTATTAATCTGATAATATAGCCATTAAAATGAAAATTTTATACACTTTGCGTTAAATAAATTCTTCTTATCTAACTTTACGCTGCTATTAAAAGTTTATTATAAATGTTTAATGATAATACGACATTGAAAGTCTCAAGATAATTAATTGTCATACTTGCGGAGATAGAAAATTCGGAAAATATTATTATTCCACGTTAAGATAATATTCTGAAGACGTGTATTCGATTTACCTAGTGGTTTCTTCATTTTTAGAAGCTAAAATACGCACGCCATCGCCGCATGTATTCCGCATTACAAAGATCTGCGTTATATCCGTGTGTCACTTATATACGCGCAGTGGTGAGTATTACTTTACGGCTTTGTCTTACGTTCGAGAGGAGGACGTCTAAATTTATTTTAATACCTAGGAGTTAAAAAGAGGTTGACTACCTACCGACTAGTCGAATGAACTCAACAAAACCTTTATATGCTACTTCTTAAAGAAAACTATTGTTATTCTGATAGTGAAAAATGGTCTTGTTCGTACGTAATTAATAATAATTATTATGAAAAAAAAAAATAAATAAATAAAAAAAAAAAAATAAATAAATAAATGACTGATCATCGCTTTTTACATCACTTTTCACTACCTTCTATCAAGTAATTAATTATTATAATCTTTGGTTGATACTTTGGGGCGTATAAAGCGTCTTTATTAATGTAATAATACGGGAAAAGTAGCTTATTTTAACATTATTATTGTGAGAGAATTAGTAGAACGAATAACAATAAAGAAAAAGAGAGTGCATCGCATTTGTGAAATTTTAATTTAAAATAACTACCTAATTTGTTACAAATGCAAATTTTTCGCAACTTTGAAATGAAAAAGACAGCGACACAATTCGCTAATACATGTGTACAACAATACCTAATCATTAGATTTACGAGATTTTCTCTATTTATTCCTTCGGGCAATAACGAAAATAGGATTCTGAGTAGTTTCATTCATGATTGCACAAAGCTCGAAGAATCCTCAATCCTTTACTACCTTCAGTAAAGTACGCTCGACACAAATTCATTCGTTATGAGCAACAGCACAATACACGTGCAATCTCTTTTCCAGCTAATATTCTAAACCGCACCTTCCTGCCAGGAGGAACAACTGAATTTATCTTAATCGCGCTGAGATAGAAAGTAACAGCTGAAAATATTGTATATATATATATATATATATATATATATATATATATATATAACTGTAATCTTACCTAATTTATACTTACACAAAAACTTTTTATTTTCTGCTCACAATGCCTGCGATTTGTTGATATTGTTGGAAAATGTAATAATACTCCTTACGTATCGATAATAAAATTAACTAAGTTGCAAATAAAAAAGGTTATTATATGAAAATCATATTTATACACGCACACGCGCGCGTATTCTCGAGATCGTGCGTGTGTGATACTAATTCAAAAATAATCACAGCCATATGAAAAGAAATTATGATGTTTATGGATAAGACGATGTATTTATTAATGACAATGTTTGTTGCTCCAATATCAAGATATAATTTTTCCAATAAAATACTCCAATAAAAAACTTTTGATCATAACTTAATCCGATCATATAAAATCGCAAAATACGTGTATCCACATGAAAATAGGCATTTAATTAGGTATAGGTAGTTTTCGCTGTAATTGCAATATTATCGCAACTTTAACTGAATTGGCATTGCAAGCTTTTTGCAATAAATCGCATAATTGTGGAAGATTTTGTAATTCATAAATTTACCGTCCGTGAAAGCGGCAAAATAAACTCATTAAAAAAGCTTAGCACATCTTAATTATTGATTTGCAATATAAAGTAGTTGCTAAATATAACTTGCATTTCGACTTAAGTAAAACTATTAACCTAATGAGATGTATGAGCTCTCATTAACCTGACCTCAAGCCACTTATAAATTAACAAGGCAAATCTCATAAAGCCAAATAATGAAATAAAATAATAAAGCTTCTAAAGTCACGCAACGCACTAAAACAAAGGTATATAATATCCTAATAACCTGGGCAATCTTCATTTAGTGCAGAAACTGGCCTCATTACCTCTAACGAGAAAGCTCATCGATGGAAAACGTCTGTATCGCTTCGCCGGTGAATTTCAGAGTAAGAGAGTCAGAGAAAAATGTCTTTTTCTCGGTTCGCGAAGCACGCGACACGATAGCGTAATCGAGAGCAGAAGGTCGGCAAAGCCTTGCCTACATCTCGACGCGTCGCGCAGCCTAATTAATAGCTGAAGCTTTATTGCGTGCCGAGGTGGTGACGGCGGTGGGGGGAGTGGTAGCAGGTGTGGGCAGAGAAGGGAAGAATGGCAGAGCCGCGTTGTTAACGTACGGGGCTGGGCGGCTTTTTGTGCGGAGATAAGGGCGGCGACGAGGATTTTCGGGGCCTTACGCTGATCCCTTTTCATCAATGATGGATCACGCGGAAGCGAGACAGACAGAGACAGAAGACGAGTTTTTGGATTCGGTCTCTCTTCCGAGACGATAATCTCGTCATACTTCATGCGACTTCATGATGGTAATTAATAAAATTGAGTAGCGAGACGCGGTTCCGAAGCTGCGCGAGCGAAGAATTTATGATTATTCTTTCGTAGCCATTAAGGAACAAGGAGATTTATCGACTAAGCAGGCATATAACGTCTTTGAATTTCTGACGAGTATTAATGATTTGTTGTGCTCTTGTCGATGCACCCATTTCTACATCATAAAAATGTTGTAATTATAGATAGTGGAGCGTTAGTCGATAATTTTTGTGGAGGTCACGACGAATGGATGCCTAAAAATTTTGAATATTCCTTCGAGAATACGGGACATCGCTCAATTCCATTGACTCGTTAAATTTAGTATTTTCACACGTCATTAACGAACTAAAATATTAAATTACAGGTAAATCGGGGATGTCGTGATCGTGTCAGTGTCGCGTATAAAAAAGTACGATCGATGGAGGGAGAACGGATGGTACGAACGTACGGACTAATGAGAAATCGTCTCAGTATCGATGTTTGTTTTATCGTTACAACGGCACCTTCAATTAGTTATAAATAAACGCCTTAATAATCCGTTTTTCTCTAAGAAAAACGCACAAGACTCTACAATACATTTCTCTTGGTTTAATTAAAAAACAAAAAAGAAATAAAAGTATCCACTCGGAAGGCCAATAAACACCGCAAGTAGCTCAACTGTGAAAAGATTGAGAAAACGGGGTGGGGTGGGGTGGGGGGGGGGGGGGCAGTAAAAAAGTATAATCGAGAAGCAGAAAAAAAAAGTAAAACCGAGGAATAGAATCTCGAATGCCCTCGAAACACTGTGTGTTCGACACCGTATTCGTGCAGAAAAAACTGCTTTTTTTTGTTTTGCGTTTGATGGGAGACGTGTCGTCGGAAGTATTATAACCAACGATCTGCTTAATGAGAATCGTGAAACGGTACACACAAAGACAAGTAGTTCGCGTTGCAATGGGA